CTTTTGGATTTCCTCGCCATTTGTAATTCTATTTTTCATTTATTTGTGTGTATTTGTTTGTGAAAGTTATAATGGTAAATTATTAAATTCAATTCTATAAAGGAGGCCACATTGGTACGACCACCACAAATCCCCTGGAGGAAATACATTGTCTGGATAGAAATGTATCATCAGTTACGGCTCTCTTCCTAAATTTGGCCGTGAATAATGAGGTCGCATGCACCAACATGGCGCCCTCAAGTCTCGTTATCTTAAACTCATTGGGACAGATATGAAAACCTGATACTTTCGAGTTGTCAAGTTAAGACATTTGCTAGATAGTAAACCAAATTGAACGCCTATAGCGCGTTTTGACAGATTTTGAAATATTTCTCATTATTAATTTCTTCGAAACTGACTAATCGAATTCGAACTATATCGAGTCCTATATAGCTTCAGATCAGCTGCCCATGAACATATCTAACTAAATTCTGTCCACAAATTTTAGCCAATGAATAAAGAACTATCTCTGTTGCTTTATGTAATATATCATAGACGATTAAAAACTTGAACAAACAGCACTGTCACTTAATCCGCATTACAGTAAACAAGAAAATCCTATTTTTGCCGACGTTTGCTCAGCGAATTAGAAAACCATTGTACAGGAAAATACGAAATAAGACAGCATTCTCTCGTTACCATGATAAGTAGTGATAAACAGAGTGTCGAGACAACAGAATACTGAAGATTAGTCGAGTGAGGCACGCGTTTAGAGGACTACTGTGAAAAATAAAGTCCTTTTCAATGGTGGGACAAATATTGTATCGTCATGTTTCTGGAAACTTATATTGTAAATACGACCAGGAAAAAGTATCAGCTTAACTCCTTAAGACCTTGGTAGACAGTTTAAATAGCGCTTAACAAAAAGGTAATTTTAATTATTTTAATGTTGCATTGCAAGACCTCCTCATGTTTTATATGGCATTAAGAGCTTTACCTCATGATGTTACTTGTCAAAACGCACGCAGACGCATGTATTATTTCAAAGGTAGAAAAAAGTGAGGTAATTCGGGACAACCCATGGTTCAAATATCTCAATTCTAGAGATGTATCAGTTATAATACTTTTGTTTGTGGAAATACCACGTAAATTTACAAAAAGAATTCTATGTTTTATCGCCATGCAATCCTACCAAGAACTCATGTATCAGTTACTTACTGAAATCACCTTACAAATTCAAATTCAAATTTTAATGTCAGGTTCGAGCTGCTAAGATTTGCACGTCCACATGCATTAATTCTTGTTCATAATATTATGGTATGGCTTGCTTCACAATAGACAGTCACTTACTTATTTTACAATGGATTTCACTGTTCGCCTCGATTTCGAGCTATTGTTTCGTGTGAACTCAAGTAAATTCGGACAGTGAAATAGAAGAGTTAAATATTAACTTATCTATTACACACAGGCTCCTCTTTCAACAGTTACAACCGTAAATTACGTAAAATAATCGATAGAGCCGACCATTGCATGCTCTTTTTTACTGTTCAAAGAAACGCTTGCAATATGCAGACTGAAACCTAACCTTGATCACGGAACTATTAAAGCATCTAAAGAATTATAAAATATTTAACTAATGACCTTATTTCTCATATTTCTTCACTTAGTAATTTCATCATTCCTGATGATGACTAAAATCTAGTCGAAACGTCGAATAAACACTATTCAAAATGTTTACCAGTTTCGCAGTTATATACTATTGTATTGTGTTTATCGACTGCAGTTATTACATAATGATTAATGCATATGGATTTTGACATGGATATAGACATAGTAACGCTATGAGGCACTCAGGCCTTTCAACATTTTAGAGGCATGGAACAACTTCAACATAGCGACGATACAAAGAGTGGCTCGGGAAATCATGCAACAAGTCATTTAGAAGAAACATCAGGAGAGCAAGGCAAGAATAAACCAGACAAACATTTACACGAGACTACTTCGCAGGTAAGCAACTACTTCGCAGGTAAGCGAATAATGGTGCATGGTAGCTACTCAAATGGATGGAGATTTCGAGAAATTTAGACGAAAACATCTGGAAATGCAGCCAAAGGCATCGGGCTATTATAGCGACGTGAAATTATAGCGACCTAACATGCGGAAATGGGCTAGATTGTGGAACGATCTTCCTCCACGTATTAAGGCGTGTATAATTCGATATCTATTTTTAGTTGGAACTACTTATTTTATATAAATCGAAGCTAACAACTTATTATCCACCAGAATAGCTTGTAGAGAATATTTTAGTCACTAACTTATATATTTGGGGTTAGAATATATTTGGGTTTCAATTCATGGTAGGTGAATTCTGTTTCAAACCCCTTACAAATCCTAACTGTTATTACTTTTGTTCTCTGTATACTTTTTATGTCAAGTAATGTAATGTAGTGTATATAAGAAATGTGACAGATTCATTGAATTAAACAAGATTGAAACCGGCATCCCCGTGATTTCGGTACAGAGTTCCTATTCAGCCCTTGAAAGTGACGTCACGACACATAATTGGACCCAATTCTTTGACTTCTACCATTTTGGGTACACGGTGTCAATTAGACGTTAAAATTTCACAGGTTTACCCTGGTAGACATGGTGATCGTTTTTCAGAAAGGTAATTTTCTTGTGGACTTAGATAGCGTGACGTAATAATCCAGCGTTACTGCAAATCCGGAGTATGGTCAGACGTTTTACAGAAATATATTTATATAGTATATGTCATAACACCAGCGTATAAGAAAACGGCTAAAACCGTAGCTCCCCCTTCTATTAAGCAAAACAAAGAAGTTCCCGGATGCTTAATGGAGGTTGTACTGTACATGAAAAACACTTGCCTTCGGCTACGCTTGATTTCGCTCCGATTTATATATGTGCAACTTTCATTTGTTCAGGAAAATCTGTCAGAAATCCGTGAAGCGTTCAACGTATTTGACAAGGATGGAAATGGTTACATCACCGCCTCTGAACTGAGACATTTTTTATCTTCCCTTGGTTATAATATGACTGAAGCAGAACTCATGGACATGATGAATAAAATAGGTAATGGCAAGCTTAGAGCTTTTAAATAGGTGCACGCGTATAAAGAGTACCTTACATTGATTGAGTTGATTAAAATGTGTTGTCGTGTGAAGCAATATGATAAAGCATACAGGATAAATACTGAAGTAGTCATAGGAGTGGAGTCTTACAGGATTAAAAACAAATTTCCTACTCCAGGCTTATATTTTTTATATTTGAACAGTCCGCTGTAATTTATAGGTAAATATGTCGAGGTTGTTATACAACCATATTTTCAAATGTACTGTACTTTAACAAGCAAATTTACTGTACTTTGCTACAGCAACTGTCCAGTCACGCATACGTGATAAAAAGTCGATACAAAGTTTGTATTATAAACTTTATAAACAAAAGATAATCTAAAACGTAACAGAACGGCGAACATGCAGATTTGGCCATCTCAAATTATGGAAATGTTGGGATAGTAGCGTTGCAGACTGCAGAGGCGAGTGGGTAGTAAGGCTCTCGTGCACCCCGTAGAAAATCTGCACCCCTCTTTGCAGATGAGGCTAGATCCGCCCCTGAACGAGCACAGAAACGTCTTAATTCAGTAGTTCTTTACTCCATTCTTAAATAGATGCAGATGGTAATGGTGCAATAGATTTCCCTGAATTCTTAGAGCTTACTACTAAGAAACTCCACGTGCTTTCAGAGGAAGAGTTGGCACGACAGACATTTAGCGTGTTTGACCGGACACAGAAAGGCCATATCTCCATGAATGATTTAAGGCATGTATTTATGACATTAGAACAAACATTTAGTGAGCACGAAATACAGGATATGTTGCTTCAAGCTGATTTTGATCAAGATGGAAGGGTGAACTTTAAAGATTTTCTCAAAATGATGACTGAAACCTCAGGAAGATGATGTTGTTGCCCTAGCTCGCAAGTAAAATGGAGATAAACACTCGCATCTCCCCTACGCGGACATCCTCAGGACCAAGTCATAGTGTCCGCTAACAGGAGGTGTCCGTTTGTACTATATCATATTTGTACTGTAGTTTGCAACCAAACTAACGACACATTTTTGCCTTCCTTCATCGCGTTAGTCCTATATTGTGTATCCTATACCAAACAATGTTGTTAATCCTATAATCCACTTAGGGGAGGTGTCCGCAAGGAGAGGTTCGACTGTAATAAAAACATGTTAGATGCAGTGGACCCCCCCCCCCCCCCCCCGACGAAATACGATCCTCTCTTACTTATATACAGTCGCTTAAACTAAACTCAAAAAAACACTGTATACTGAGAAACGTAACTCATGTTTAGATGTTGATAGACCAAGGACTTGGAAAACATTTTGTTCTAAATATCGTTCGTGTTCTTTTTTTAAATTGTTCTTCGTAAAAGTACATGTTTAGCGAATTTTATGTTCGTATATAATGATGTGTAATCCGTAAATATGTTAGTTTAAATAGTTTTATAATGTACACTTAATTTAAGATTTTATTTCTTCTGTTGTCTGAGCCTTCAATTGTTATTGTAAAATTAATAAAGAAGATTTATTTTAGACTTTCTTTTTCATCCTATACATCCCGATCAGGCATTTACTCAATGAAAGGCGATGTTTCGCTGAGAATCTATACATCAATTCAGTGCACAGTAGCCAGACGTCTAAACACTGTCCACTACACTACATCGGACACCTCACTGTATCATAAGGTGTTTTGCCTATAAACTCACCTCCCTTCCTTTACTTGTGACCAATGCTGCCAGCGGCTTGGCGTAAAAGCGAGAGTGTGAAAAACCAAGACAACCATACATACTGAATAACAAAATAAGGTTGTTATGCTCACATCATCAACTTGTCTATCCAGTCAATGATTTTGTTCTAATTTTACTAAATAGTGTATTATGTATATACCTGTTCGCAGTAAGTTTCAGAGCTTTCTGTCGAATATCATACTGAAAAGAATATAGAAAGCATGATTTTGAGACAAAACACCAGAAATGGAATTTGGGCATTTCACTCGATATTACTCATACACCGTACATTGGCTGCACAGTGGTGTCAAGTAACGAAGTAAATGTACTTCGTTACTGTACTTAAGTACTATTTTTGAGAAGTGAGCATGCAACAAAGTAAACTTTTTCTGGGGTACTTTTACTTGGAACGAAGTTGTTTTAAGAAGTAACGTTTTACTACGTTATTTTCATTTTGTGGCGAAGTATTCGTTACTTTCTCACATTTGTTTCATTTTACGTGATTTATTCCTGATTTATTTTAATATTGAGATAGGTAATAGGACCTCTACATGCGTCTTGGATCTCTCGTTTGTGGCTTCCTCATAAGCATTATTTATTTAAAAAATTTCTTATATCTTCAACGGTGTCTGAAAAGTAGACCATGCCGTGAATTATTGTATAATTATTATGGTGCACGCATATAATGCGTGTGCTGTTTTGTGTCTTTTGTATGTCAATCCATTGGAGAAGTACTACATACACGCCATAGACAATAGTACTTTTACTTTGTACTTCAAGTATTTTTTAAGGATACTTTGTAACTTTTTACTTAAGTACGTTTTACCTCCAGTACTTTTTACTTTTACTCGAGTACAAATTCAAAGTAATTTAGGCACCACTGCATTGGCATCACCTTAGTATTTATACATGAACTTGTGGTTAGAGCTCGACAACTGGACTCTGTAGTTCAGTTGGTTAGAGCGCTGGACTGGAATCGCAGGCTCGATTCCTGCCAGAGGGTTAGGTCTAACAAATGTACAATAATTTCCACTCAAAATTTCCATCTGCAAATCCCTCGGTTTCGCCATAGTCATCAGAATAAGGTTGGGGAACACGATGCAGATATAATAGACCTCATTATATATGTTTGTGTCTTGGTTTATGCAAGAAATGGTCGGTTCATCGTCACGTGTGTATTGCTTTTTTGCCCAAACAACGAATAGCAGTGTGTTGGTTTAAGTACTCAAATCTTAAATGAAAACATAGCTATTGGTTGCTCTGGTGAAACTACAATACACACGTGATGATGAACCGCCCATTTCCGAATAAACCAAGACAAAAACATATATAATGAGGTCTATTATGTCTGCATCGAGTTCCCTAACCTTCCTATTCTATTGACTATGGTTTCACTAAGCACACCATTTGACAGCAGATGCTGGTCAACCTGCAGTTATCAATGTTGCAAGCTTAGATTTGGGGGCCAATAAAAAAGTTGAGTAATTTAGTTTATTTGGTTGTTGCTATAAGTGTCACCAGTTTTGAAGTTGACAACCATGCATCTGCTCCCTGCAACCCCTGAAACTCATGCATCAATAGGCACAAAAATATATCAAAGAATTTTCCTAGCTAAATATTCATGAAGAACGTTTGTTAAAACGCAGGGATGGATCCAGAAAGATCTGGGAGGCGCGCTCATCGACCTTTGGTAATGGTACAGAGTGCAACCTTTTACCAAGTGCGTAATCACTTGAGGGAGCTACAACAGTAAAGCACTAATCTGCAGTCCTGCTTGACAGTTTTATATCTCCATTTTAATTTACTATCTCTAGTTTATTTTTGTTTTTGTGAGTGCCGTTCCCAATTAAAAGATTTGTTTGAGAGTGTATTACGGTGCCGGATTAACCATATGGCAGAAGTGGCATATGCCACGGGCCCAGCGCTTACTCTTTTCGATTAAAGTGAACCATGGTTATGACTAACTTTTTGATTTATAAGTTGAATGGTAATCACATTCAAAGGCATTGCGCCATATTTTACCTGGAACTATGTCGTTGGGATTTCAAGGGGCCCCGCGCTTATAATATACCACGGGCCCCGCGAAACGTTAATCCGGTCGTGATCTATTTCATGACATTCTGAATTAAGAGGGCTGGGCACCCCATGCACTGCCCGGTGAATCCATCCTTGTTAAAACGCATGCTGACGCACAACTTATTCCCCGTTCTAGTTGGGAACCTCCCCTAAAATATTGCTCCTTTAACAGTATACAGAATTGGGAGTAGCTCAGGCAGAGATACAAATATATATTTTTAGATATACGTTTTCTAAAATTTATACTCCATGCATACACATGCCGCAACCCCACTATTTTTAAAGTACCAGACTAAACATGATTATGCTCTACAAAAATAGTTTTAACTGAGTAAGTTGAAGAAACTATAGATAACCTTAACACTAATTACCATCTCTCTGTGGCGGACAAAAGGGTGGAGGAGGAAGTCAGGAGCCAATCGTCTCCCCCTGCAATAACTTCTGAAAGCGTACGAATGATAGTTTAATAACTGTTTAACAAAGCTGTAACAATATTTTTCCACCACGAAAGTATTGGTAGGCTATACATTAAGCTAAATATCGCATGGAATTTAAAGACAAAAGTTGTAAGTCTTTAACGAACTGAGATTTCCAGCAACAAAAGGAAGTAACATGGTAGCGCACCAACTTCCCCACACACACACACGCACAATGCTATCTTCATCCACATCTATGCTGGATATTGAGACATTCTAGTACTGACCTGTGAGTATTGATCAGAATCCCCATTTAGTCCTTTCATGAGTTTCTTTACCTAATCCAACGAAAAAGAAGAAAATTAACTGGAGCAATCAAAACTACCCATCTGGAAACGGCTGTTCAAACATGATTAGCGCCAACCCTGGGTTAAAGTGTAACCTGCTGCTTTGAGTGCTATACATCTGCACATGCATGTTTTTTCTTTTAAAACGTTATAGGAAATAAAACTTCTAATGATCATAATCCAGACAAGACGTCTACAAAAATATTTCAAGTAGGCTGTTAAGCAATTGTTTTGAAGTTTTAGCTTAACCTAGGATTAATCTAACTGGTTTTCGACGAAAACCAATTAGATTAATCCTAGGTTAACCTAAAACGTCAAAACAATTGCCTAACAGCCTACTTGAAATATTTTTGAACACGTCTTGTCTGGATTATGATCATTTGTTTTCGAACAACCAGCCCAGATATATTGGAGTAAACAAACGTTTTAAAGGTGACATGAATTTTTTATAATCAAGTTTGAAGATCGTAAGGCGACTTATTTTACAAATTCTCGCTTACGTATGTGCCGCATTCATAACACAAATCAATGCGTTGAACTCATTCCACCAGTGTTTCCACAAAGGTGAGGCAGTCATTTACGGTAGAAAATCGCCTTGGATTTTGGGCTGCTCGTGTGAGTCCTACTTGTCGCCGAACGTGGTCCGACTCAAGTCTGAGTAAGTAATCTACGGCAGAAACGATCTAGTCGACTGCACTCGTTACAGCACTAAGGTCAGGTATGTAAGGAAAGAATAAAAAAAAGGTTTTAGCTTCGGAGATGTTTCACGGCTTACCTCTCTTCGTCGTTCAACAAGTTTGCGGATCTGTACAGGCAAAACACCTGCCTCTAAATCTGAATCAGGCAGTTCCACCCACGATTCCACATCTTCTTTATCCTATGTATTCATCATTACATTAGTTTTTTTTAAATAAGAAACACTGGGAATTATTAATCAAAAATTATTCTAAATAATCGTCAGTAAAGGGCTGAGGGTAGAAGATATTTGTGTCATCCACAGAATGGCAGAAATAAGCTAATTGAATGTTGCTGCAATTTTGAATGTCGCTAACAGTGTACAACATCGATCCTTGAGGAATCCCACTAGTTATTTCCAGCACATCCAGGCTTTTAGCCAGAAGGGTATCCTAGGACGTCATACAACGAAAAGTGGACGCCTTTAGACACCCAAAATTCTAGGGGGAGGTGAGTGACACACCTAAATAAATTAATATAATTGAAACGAAATAGCTTTAATTTTCAATATTATGATACACTTGACATTACGATCAATTTAACAGTGTTCCTGGTTGAATGAAAATGTCAGGATTGTTAGAAAAATCTCCAATGAACTTTAATACCTATACAAACTATAATACTGCATGTTTAAAATACCCAAATTTCGAAGGTTTTCCAGAAGGACTTGGTTTCGAACATCCTGATTTCGAACACTTGGTTTCGACTAGTTTTTCGTACCTATACCTAAGTTTTTGGAACAAGAAAGACGAAACCCAAGATACGCGTTGATAGTCGACACACAACGCGGTGTTGCTAGAAAGTTCCTGTGTATTTCACCTTTTCAAAAATTGCGAGATAACTGCATAAGACAGCCCGTTACTGCAATATGCAGTGCTGTGATTATAATTTTGACCCTGTCGCTGCATGTAAGAATTAGAGACTACACAATTATACAAAGAAGATGATCTAGTTCTCATAGCACATAATATCTAGTTAAACAAATGTTTTGTAAATAATAATAATTACTATATTTTTACAGGTTAACTTGGTCAGCTATACTAAGCTGCTATAAATCAAGGACCTGTGTTTACAATAAAGTTCATATAGATAAAAAGTGAGAAGCTTCTTATTTACGAAATGTTTGGAATAGTTATTAAGAACCGTTGTTCAATAAAAAGTGAGATGTTTCTAATTTACGAAATGTTTC